CTTGGAAAGTTAGCCACCACTTATTTCTCTCTGAACTCCCCCTGCCTAGCAGGCAGTTTAGAAACTGTTTGCTGGATGTTAAAAAAAAAAAAAAAAGAAGAAGTTAGACATGATATTATTTATTCTGTAACTATGGAAAAAGTGTTATTTAACTCAACTCTGGATGCTGACAAAATATAAAGTGTTGGTACACATCAGTATGTATTTAAAACCCGGGAAAACTGATGTCATGATGCATCCTGACTTAATTGTGGTGGAAACAACATTTATTTAATTATAATAAAAGAAACAAGACTTCAGCAGAAAATATAACTGGATAAGACCTGTTTGGCTGCACAAAAGGAGACCTACCAAAGTAACTGGCCTCTTTTGTAATCATTGTTTTTTTTTTTATAAAGCACAACTTGAAGGAATAATGTGTCTACCTATTCCAGTTTCATTTTCTCTTCCCAGGAGCTCAGGCCCTTACCGTCTCTCACCAGAACTACAGCTGTGCCCTAACTTCGATCCCCAGATTTTGGCAGCTGTTTATAGCCTGGATGCCCCTTCACCATGGCTCTGAGTACATCCCTTCCCTGGCTCAACAACCTTCAAGGTCTCCCCTGTGGGGTCTAACTTCAAGCCCCTACCTCTCTCACATTGTCATCTCTCATTCCCCAAACAAGGCCCAGCTGCATGAAAATGCTGCTTTCCAAGAACAGGCCCCATGTTGAGATTTTATACACATACACACACGTACATGCACACGTCTATGTTCACACACACGTATACACTTACATATGCACACCCTGACACATAAGCACTCCTGCAGCCTGCAATCACCCTCTCCCCTGCGCTGGGATTCCACTTCCAACTCTAGATCCAGCTCAAAGCCACCTCCTAGGTGATGATCTCCCCAAATTCTCCAAGATAAAAACACTGGGAAACAAAGGATGAAATTCCTGTCAATCTCCTCCAGGGGCTCAGGCCAGAGATATGGACAAATCTCCTGCATCCTTCATTACCTCCCCTCCTCACACTTATACCAAGACATCTCTGAGCACAAAGTAAATGCTGGGAAAAATGGGCTATGTTAGGGGAGAAACCATTAGAGTAAGGCTAGTTTTTCTTCCAAATAATTACAATCGGAAAAGTGGGTGGGGTGCTGTGGCTCTCACTTGTAATCCCAGCACTTTGGGAGGCCAAGGCAGGAGGATCACTTGAGCCCAGGAGCCTGGGCAACATAGCGACACCTGATCTCTACAAATAAAAAAATTAGCCAGGTGTGACAGTACGTGGCCCCAGTAACTCAGGAGGCTAAGGTGGGAGGATTGTTTGAGCCTGGGAGGTTGAGGCTGCAGTGAGCCATAGCTGCGCCACTGCACTCCAGCTTAGGTGAGAGGGTGAGACCTCTAACAATGGACAAAGACTAAACGAGGAGCCAGAAGTGGGTTTTCCTGGATCCATGAGTGAGGGGCAGAAGGAAGGCTGGATCTACAGTGTGCCTGGCCTCCCAAAAGCTGTCTGGCTGGAAATAATGTGAAAACAACTGCTTCCTGACTGCATGATGGGGTGGGGGTAGAGGGGTGCTGGCCAAGGATCAGGAAGTAGCCACACACAGATGGCAGAAACAAGGGCATCCAGAGTCTCTGCATTCCAAGGCTGCCCTGACCAGAAGACCCAGACGGACAGTTAAGAAGAAGCCACTGTTGCATGAGTGGTTTTCAAAGCATGGTCCCAGGACCCTCAGCCACTTCCCCTCAACCTGGGAAATGCTGGAATGCAAATACGCAGGTCCCCCACCAGGCATGCTCAATTAGTTGCTGCAGGATGGACCCCAGCAATCTATTGTAACCAGCCCTCTAGGCACACTAAAGTTTGAGGATCACTGCACTAGAACGTTCTGCTGACCCTCTCTGGCTGTCTCCTCCCTCCTGGGTAGAAAGAACATCTGGACAACTTCTCAAAAGATCAAAGGTCTTACAGTCACAACCTAGTAGGTGAAAAGCAGCCCAGAGAGATCTTCTAAAAAATCATATCTGATCACAACACTCTCACAGCTAAATCCCTTCACAGGCCCCCTCTGTGCTTAGCTTACAAGGTCCTCCCTGATCCAGGGGCCCTGCCCAACTTATCTCAACCTCTCAATTTCAGTCACATGGGACTTCACCTGCAGTTCCCTGAAGCACAGGGCTCTTCTCCAGCCAACCATGGTGACCACCACCCCCCTCACAATAACGGCCCTGCCTCCAAGGTGCACTCCTCGATGCCACACCCCCCAACCTCTCCCGTGCCCTTCATCCTTCCTGTAACCCTGTAACACAAGGTCTCATCATAGCACTCATCACCATCATGCCACTATGGCCTCTGTCATAGCATTCACTGCAGAGGGTCTCTGCTCCAGCACCCAGCAGGGGAGGGCACAGAAAAGACCCATAAGAAATATCTGGTGATGAAAAGAAGTCAAGTCTTAAACATCTTGACAACCTGGCTATAAAACAAATCATTTCTCAGTGTTTGAAACAGTCTTAATTGTAATTGGGAAAAAAATATTTACTGAAGTTTTGAACCACTAGCAGTGAAACAGAAAGGAGATCTGCCCACCTGGGGTGTGGCTGCAGGGTAACAAGGAGGATGCATAAAGTCCGGTGCAGTTGCGTGACCCTATCGTGCCGCCTTTTATATTCAAGACCTCCCCAGTGTCTGCACCAAGCCAAGCCTGGGCCATGCATAAGACTGCACGGAGCCTATCTGGTGTTTCCCTCACTGATCAACCACAAGCCCAGGGTCCTGGTGGCTCCCAGGGAAATCTACCCCCTCTCCCAAGGCAGCTCCTGGGTGGCCACCTGGCTCCCAGCTAGTTGTCATCTAGGTGTGGCATCCTGGGTGCTTAGGAAACCCAGAGTCCAAGCTTCCGAGGCATGCCCCAAACTGCCTCCAGGGAGAGGTGGGATCCTCCACGGACTGCCCATGCAGATCAAGCAGGGGATGGGATATTCCGGGGACCTCGGGGAGAGGAGGCCAGGCAGAAAAACTAGAGGAGGGACATTCCCTTCCTCCTCTCTCCTGGCAAACAAATAAGATCCCTTTCCAGGCACCAGCTGGCAGGTAAGAGCCTGCCTCACTGCTGTCTGGACGTCCAGTCCTAAAAGGAACTCAGACTCTTAATCTGTCTCCCCCAGCCCAGGCCTGGGCAAAGGTTTATCTTTGGGGGAAGAAGGTGGGGAGAACAACAGACACGGACCAGGGCGCTGAGAAGGAAGAAGCTCTCCCACCGGGCCTCAGATTTAATCAAAACACTGCCTTCCACCAGAAGTAGACAGAACAAGTATTATTTTATGGGGGAAGGGAGGGCTTCACAGGAGTGTGAAGGAGGAGGAGGGGGCCTAGTCTGGCTGTAATTAACTCGTCTGCTTCAAAGGGAGGGAACTAGATGGCCTAATGCGTTAGGAAGGGGGTTGTCACAAAGTCCCCCCCGTGTTCCTGGTACCGTATGGGGTAGGGTTGAGGTCAGGAAGGAAGCAGGTGAGGATAGGAGGGGTGGGGTCTCCTTCCAGCCGGGCCTGATAGGCTGACCCCCTCCCGCGCGCAGCGGCAGGAACTGACGGGTTCGGTGAGGAGCGCTCTTGGAGGCAGCGCATTTCAACCGGAAAAGCACGCGTGGAGGTTCCCGGAGCAGCTCCGGTACCAGGCAGCCCGAATTTGGAAACCTGGAGCTGGGGGTGGGGTGGGGCGGGGCGGGGCGGGGCAGGGCCGGGCAGGGCAGCCGCGAGGGATTTACATATACACGCTGGAGACAGCCGGTCCAGATCTGCCACCAAGAATGCTGTGTAATATTGGGCGAGTCCCTTCCTTGCTCTGGACCTCAGTTCCCCACCTAGAGCGTGAGCGGAGGGTGGAGGCTGGAGTAAGGGGAGTCAGGAGTCAAAGCTCTTTGAAGTCCTTGACAGCTCTGACTCTGACTTTACTCCTTGGCAGCCGGAAGGGCTGGCTGGGTCCGTCTTCCTGGGACAAGGCTGGGCCGGGCGCTCTCGCTCGGGCTGTGGGCTCAGAGAGGAGACGTTCTGGGAGCAGCGGCGAAAGCGGTGGTGTCAGGAGGCCGCCGGTCCCAGGAAAAGCGAGCGGGAGGGGGCAGAACCGGGGAAGCAGCACGCCAGCCCCGACCCAGGGTCCTAGGCCGAAGCTGAAGTAGGGACTCGACACCAGAGCGGTGGGTGCCTTGGTTTCCCCGTGCGCACCGTGGCTCTTTTGGTACCTCGGAAAGAGGCCAAGGGGCACCTTACCTTGTCCTTCTTGCCGGCCCCGCTCTCCTCCGCGGCTGAGGCGGCGCACTTGTTGAGCAGTTTCTTGCCTCCGCAAGCCGTCGGGCTCCAGGTGCGGCCGCCCGCGCAGGCGCCCCCCAGGGGGTCCCCGGCCCCGCCGCCCGCCGCGCTCTCCACTTTGATGAGGCGGTGCTTGGGGGAGATGTAGCGCACCTCGGCCGGCGTGGCGGGCCGCCGCTCGCTGCTGCTGCGGTAGAGGTGCGGGGAGCCAGAGGAGGAGGACGACGACGCGGCGGCCCCCGCGCCCGAGGAGGCGCAGCAACAGCCCGCGGCGCCCGACGCGGACGAGGCCGAAAAGGCGCGCTGCACCCCGCCTGGCTCCCCGCCGCCGCCGCAGTAGTCCAGGCGGCACATGGCGCGCAGTTTGCGCAGCGACGAGCCAGGCCCGTTGTAGGGGTCCTCGAAGTCGCGTTCCTTCTGCGCGCGGTAGGCGCGGATGAGGTCGCTGGTGCTGCCGCTGTCGTCGGGCAGGGAGCCCGAGGAGGCCGAGAAGCAGGAGGCGGTGGCCGGACCGCAGGACGCCGAAGCGGCGGAGGAGGCCTGCGGCACGGCCTGGGGGGGCTGCGAGGGCCGCTCGCCCCGGCGCCGCTGCTCGCGGTAGTCTGGCCGCGGCGGCTGCGGTGGGCTCTTGGTCTTGCTGTTGCCCAAGCTGAAGTACTTGTTTAGCCACTTGGCCATGGCGAGAGGCCGCCTAGGGCCGCGGCGTGGGAGCCCGGTCCGCCGCCGCGGCCATTCGGGGGGCAGCGCTGCCGCGCAGGTCCCTCGGCGCCCCGGCCCCGGCGGGGGGCGTCCGGGGCGCCCGCTCGCGACGCCAAGTTCAAGTTCTCGCCGCCGCCGCCTCCTGCCGGCAGCTCTCTGGCTCCGGCAGCTGCAGCACCGCCCTCCGCCTAGCGCCGCCCGAGCTAGGGATCTCGCGCCCCTCGTGGGCGCGTCTCATGGGGTCCCGGCCCACGGCCCGGGGGAGAGCGGAAGGTCCGAGCGCTACCGCCGCGGACCCTGTGGCCGTGAGCCCCCCGCCGTGGAGCGCGCTCCTGCCCCGTCGGAGCCGCAGCCTCCGCCTTGGCCGGGATCTGCGGCTGCCGCGGGAACTTCTCGGCGTGCTCGGCTCCCTTCTTCCTTCCTGCGAGCGCTGGGGCGAGCTCTGCCGCGCAGCCGAGGAGAATGCGGCCGGGAGAGACAGCGAGCGACGGAGGGAGGCAGCCGGCGCCCGCCCGAGCCCGCGCGCCCGTGCCCGTCCCGGCGGCGCCTGTCGCTGCCACTGCCGCCGCCGCCTCCCGAGCCGCCGCGTGTGTGACACTCAGGCCGCCAGAGCCCGCCCCGCGCCGCCGTCCCGCCCTCCCGGAGCCCGCGCGCGCCCCGCCCCCCGTCCGCCCCCGCAGACCCAGCACCGCCCACCCCGCGAGCCTGGCCCGGGGCCGCGGCCCAAGCCCCGCCTCCCTCGCGCCCGGGCCTGGGGTGGGCGCACCTCTCCGCTCCGGCACGCGCCACCTCCCGCGGCCGCCCAGGCGCCAGCACCAGGGTCGTGCCCCAGGGCGCCGGGGTCCCGCCGCGCAGCCGGCTCCGCCTAGCTTGCTGCTCGCCGCTGCCTCGGGCAAGAGGTTGCCTGGCGGAGTCTGCTACGCGCAGAGGCCAAACCTGTCCGCAGTCCTCCGGGACCCCGCGCGTTGTTCACTCCAAGGATCCCCCTGTCGGGGTTGAGGAGTGGGGGTGGATTAACACGGAACCTTTCTAGTTTACAGCGTGGCCCGTGTGGAGGAAATGCAGTGCCGAGTGTCCTTAGGGACAGACTGGCTGTCCCCCTTTTCCTTAAAGGGACAGACTCCGGTTCAGCCCCGTGCACCGGGTCTTCGGAGGAATCTTTATGCTAATGAGTGTATTAGCAGTCCAGATGACGGATGTGGCCGGGATAGGCGGTGGGAGCCGGGCCCAGCACCAATTCGAGAGCAAGTCTAGGGGAGGTCGGAATGTTTGCTTACCTTTTCACCTCTGAGGAAGTCGAGGCTTTTAGCCCTGTTCACTGCCAGCCTGGCGGAGCAAGTTGTGGGAACGTTTAATGCCTTATGTTGTAGGGGCTGGCAGGGCTCCATTTAATACAGGAACTCGGCCGGGTGCGGTGGCTCACGCCTATAATCCCAACACTTTGGGAGGCTGAGGCGGGTGGATCACGAGGTCAGAAGTTCAATACTAGCCTGGCCAAGATGGTGAAACCCCGCTGTAAAAATAGAAAAATTAGCCGGGTGTGGTGGCAGGCACCTGTAATCCCAGCTACTCGGGAGGCTGAGGCAGAGGTTGCAGTGAGCCGAGATCGCACCACTTCACTCCGGCCTGGGCAACAGAGCCAGACTGCGTCTCAAAAAAAATAAATGACCTCATTTTACAGATGGAGAAACTGAGGCCCAGGGGAAAGTCACAAAGGTGGACTTGGATGCCAGTTCCTAAATCTGGTGGCACCACAATTATGTCTTTTCCAAGAGTCTCTTCTTTGCGATTTCAGATCATCCTTTGATTATTAACCAAAATTGGGGAAATAGGCCCAAGGAGTGGCCCAATTTGCTCAGTGTAACTTTTCCTGGGATCTGCACCTGGGGGAGGTGGCATGCTCCCTGTTGAGAGGGAAATGCTGCCTGAAGATGAAGTAGCTGCCACTAGTGCCTGGTGCTGCTTTGAATTTGCCTGGGCAAGCCCCAAAATATGACTTAACTCTGAGATGTGGGCAGCTGAGAGCTGAGAAATTCTCTAAGAATGTTGATTTACTAAAACAATAGCCCGAATCAAGAATCTGCATTTGCTGTCCATCTATTATAGATGTGATTTGGGGGAGTCTGTTTTTCCGCTATCCTGTAGTAACAGCGGGAACTGTGAGGGCAGACAGCAAGGCCGGGGGCTCTTTTGATCACATTGTAGTTCTGGCCACGCTGGAAGTGGAGGTCAAACTCTCAGTCTGAGACATTTGGACAGGGAAGACCTGAGAGCTGTTACTGCTTCCTCTCTGTAACCCACCCAGACTCATGCCTGAGGCCACAGCGCAGAAGTGATAGAAGCAGGACTTGAACTAGGTCTTATCCTGAAGCTGACCTCCGTCTGCTCAGCCACACACAGTAGTAAAGTGGAATTGACTTCAAATTTGTTCTTCCAGAATCAAGCTATTTGCCCTTTCCCTCCTTGGTCAGACAATACTGTCATCCTCTGTGGCCAATTGAATTTTCCAAACCCACTATGTCTCATAGTCACAGATACTGTCACCAACTACACAGCCTCTTCATTGCCTGAGATCTATTTACTTAGCATTTCACAGTAAATAATCTAAGGGGTGTGTGTGTGTGTGTGCGCGCGCGCGTTTGATGTGTCTGGGGCACGCAGAGAGGACCCAGAAGTTGACCTGGCTAGGATGTTTATTTTGAATATACCTAGACTTAAATATCTCTGTTACCCTTTAAATTGCTCCTCTGTCACATTGGCACTTAATTATCTTGCATATAAGGAGGCCTCAGTAGAAAACCTGAAAGGCAAGGACATCCTTGTCTTAAGCCCCACCTTTCATCCAACCACAAATCCTCCCCAGCTACCTTCCTTCCCATTTCTACTTCTGAGCTCAGATCCTGGCAATAGGCCAGGCCATCTGAGACAAGAAAGTCCTCTCTGGAATCTGGAAGCTTGCTCCCTTCTTTTGCCTTGCACATGGAAGGGTTATCTCTGCCTTTTCCAAAGGTTCGGGAAGAGACGTTATATTTCGTAACTTATTTTTTCCATGTCACTTTCAGCAGGCCATAGGGTCGTATCCACTTTCCCATGTGATACCTCTGCTGGGGTGTAATTTGCAAGCCAGAATTATTGTAATGCTATAGTATTATGCCAAGAACGTCCAGAGCACTTGTGTATCTGCTCAACCCTTAGACACTCTGTATATAATTAACCCTCCTCAACATCCCTGCAATCTGGTGTTATTCCCAGTTTACAGATGGGGTAGCTGGCCTAAGGTGGTATTTACCTGAAGCAGGCAAAAACCACATGGGTGTTTTCCTTTAGGAGCTTGTAGAGACAACTATCCAAGACTCAGAGTCCGAAATAATCATTCTGAAGGGAAATAGAAAAAGCTTCCTAAGGACTATGCCAAATGGTTTAGGAAGGCAAATACTTGTGGGAGAAGTATTAGAGCACTATAGGAAGGAAGAGATGGACGGACTCTCTTTTCAGAGATCCAGCCACTCCATTTTAGAGAGGGCAGACTGGGACCGGTGAAGGGAAGAGATTAAATCAAGAGGCACAGCTAGGATTGGTCTCCAGTCTCTTGACATCACAAACTCAACATTGTCTGATGCTGTAAATTGTGTCCATCATTTTTGGAATTTTTGCTTTTCATGTCCTCCTCCAGTCCCACCCTAGTTTTCTTATTAGAAAGGTTGAGTTATGGCCCTATTTCTGTTTCTGTTCTATCTTAGCCTATCACTTTAGAACAAGAGCCCCTCAAGCTGCCAGGGGCATGGTGTCTCCTTTGCTGCGCCTCTTTCCAGTATCTGGAGGAAGGCTGTGCCACTTGTACAGGTCCAGAAAAAGAGTGCCACCACCAACCCAACAGACTCATCTACTTCTTCTTCTTTTTTTTTTTTTTTTTTTTTTGAGATGGAATCTGGCTCTGTCACCCAGGCTGGAGTACAGTGGAGTGATCTCAGCTCACTGCAAGCTCCGCCTCCTGGTTTCATGCCATTCTGCCTCAGCCTCCCGAGTAGCTGGGACCACAGGCTCCCACCACCACGCCCAGCTAATTTTTTTTTTTTTTTTTTTTTTTTTTTAGCAGAGACGGGTTTCACTGTGTTAGCCAGGATCGTCTCGATCTCATGACCTCGTGATGCACCCGCCTCAGCCTCCCAAAGTGCTGGGATTACAGGCGTGAGGCACCGCACCCAGCCCTTTTTTTTTGTTTGTTTGTTTCTTTCTTTAGAGACAGTGTTTCACTCTTGTTGCTCAGGCTAGAGTGCAATGGGATGATGTCGGCTCAACACAACTTCCACCTCCTGGATTCAAGCGATTCCCCTGCCTTAGCCTCCTGAGTAGCTGGGATTACAGGCATGCACCACCATGCTGGGCTAATTTTGTATTTTTAGTAGAGATGGGGTTTCTCCATATTGATCAGGCTGGTCATGAACTCCGACCTCTGGTGATCTGCCCATGTCAGCCTCCCACATCAGCCTCCCAAAGTGCTGGGGTTACATGTGTGAGCCACCGCACCCGGCCTCATCTACTTTTTTTTAGATAACATTATTCAGTTCTGTCCATTGAATGGTAACGTCAGTCCCCTGTCTGTGTACCAGGCCCTGGGGGATGCAGAGATCATCTGAACCACAGTCTGTCACCAATAATTATACAAGGCAAGACGAGAGAAGTGCAAGACAGAACAAGGGACAAAGAGCTGTGGGGCTATGGGGAAGGGAGATTTTAATTATGAGACGGGGTAGATCATAACGGGTTCTTAGTAGAGGTGATATCTGGTCTGGGCCTTGAAGAGTGAGTAGCATTATGATATAGTAGAATTAGACAAGAGAATTCTACACAGAGAGAGAGGTGTAGAAGCCACACATCATGAAAGGCATAGAAGCAAGAACATGTGGCAAACCACTTGGGCCATAATGAGTTTCCAAGTGGAGTGGGAGTAGCTGAGAATCTGTGAATGCACGGAATGGTGGGTAAGGGTAGAAAGGTAGGCTGTACCCCATCAGGAAGAGTTTTGAATATCAAACTCAGGAGAATTTTTTATCTTGTAGGCAATAGGGAGCCACTGAAGGTCTTTGAGCAAGGAAATTAATTACCTTATGTTTTCTGCATTTTATAAAGATTATTTGGGAAGCAGTGTGGAAGATGTATTTCTTGGGGAGAGACAGAAAGTAGGCAGAGCAGTTAAAGGAACATTAAGGAACCAGAAAATGGTGCATAGAACAGTAGCTAGTGCACAGAAGGCACTCAGTACTTTTGTTGAATGAATAAATAACGTTGAAGTAGTGAAAGGGTGTTAAGTCATTTTAGAGGACAGACTCTGCCTGCCTCTCAAGTCTTTGCCTTTGGGCCACTTAGTGAGTGGTGACCAACCACTTCCCAGTGAAAGGTGATGCTGCAGGAAGGAGAAGGTGGCTGACTTGGCATTAGCTACCTGTATAAACAGCTGTGAGGGTCAGGGCACAAGTCTGAGCTGGAGGTATAGATTTGGGAGTTACTAGAGCTCAGTAAAGATCTGAAGCCAAAACCTCTGTCATCCATGACCCCTTAGTTCATTCCTACTTTATCCAGCCTGTCGGCAAAGTATATGCAGAATCCGGCCACTACTCACCACCCCCATCTCTACCACCCTGGACCAAGACTCCTTCATCTCTTGCCTGGATTATTGTGGGAGTGTCTTATCCATCTTCCCTGCCTCCATCTCACCCCAGCAGTCAGTGATCCTATTAAAAATGGGTGTGATTATGTCTTTCCTCTCTTCACATCCCCCCTGGAATCCTCATTTTCCTAATAGGAAATGCCAAAATTCTTACAGTGGCCCATAAGGCCTTGTATGACTGGTCCCCTTAAACTCCTAACCTCCTGTTATACTATCCTTTCTCTCCTGCTGCAGTCCAGCTGCCTCTTT